ATATTATTACTCAATTGAGTTTTGTAATCATCAGATATAAGCTTTCCCCACTAACTTCTAAAGTTGGTGTTATCTCAATAAAAGTAAAACAAGTTAATGTATACTAACAGTAGAGAAGGGAGGCTGGAGGAGACAGTGAAGTATGAGTAAGGGGAAATATTTCATGTAACACTTTCAAGTGTTTGAACCATGTGGGAGCAAAATCTATTTTACGTTAAACATTTACATGATGAGGATACAAAGAGCTGATAGTGTTCAGACGGATGTATACTTTCTCAAAGGATTATGGGTGGCACAACCGTTTTAGCTACAGACCTGGTCTTCAGGGAGCCATTTTGTCTTCTGTGTTACTCTGCAGAAGATTTTTGCCCTCTGCAGACTCTTACCCTAGCCATACTCAGATGCCCAGAACTCTGCCAAATATAAGGGCATTTTAAACTAAATGCTTAAAAAATTTTACTGTTGTATAAAAACTGATTTTAACTCTAAATATCTAAGCAATAGTCAAAGGCCAAGGGTCGTTTTCTTTCCCTCACAGTCTCTCCCTCCCTCCCTCTCTTTCGTTCACCAGGAACAAAGTTAACTTGACAATGATTTGGAAGGCACGCCCAGTAGTTTCTATTCCTCTGTCTAAATTCTAAAGAGCACCACTGCTTCACTAGCGCTCACCAACTGCCTATCTGTTCTAAACAGCAGATGGGAAGGAACGCCCTTGCGTGAGGTTTCTAGTTTCCATTCTCAGAGGCAGGAAAAGGTGGGAAGGTTGTCTGTGGAGGGACACTCTGTCTTGGTGAAAGAACGAGTGACAAAAGCGTCCTAGAACGGGCCTCTTCCCCATGAATATTTCTTTTTAAAACAGCATTTTAGTAATTTTGCAAGTCACCGAAAATTCCATTTGTGAATATCAGAATATGAATTGTTTCTGTTTTCTTGAGACAGGTTTTCTCTGTGAAGGCCCTAGCCGTTCAGAAAATCTGTAGACCAGGCTGGCCTCAAACTCAGAAATTTACCTGCCTCTGCCTCCTGAGTACCGAGATTAAAGGTGTGTTACACCACCACCCAGCTAGAAAATAAAATTATAATGAGAACAACAACGAAACATTAGCAAATGTGGCTATACAACTTTAAAAATAAGAACAGAAAATAAAAGGAAGAAAAATCGTTATTTACATTTGTACTGCACTCCATGTTACAAGAGTCTATGGTAGTTATGTTTAGATCTCTCCCTTTATCAAATATTGAGGGAGTACTCTGGATTAAATTTGTTTAAAAAGACTTACTTGCTTTTATTTTATATCTGTGAATGGTTTTATCTGCACACACACACACACACACACATCAGTATGAATTGAACTTTTAAATTCAGAGACTAATCTCTCAGTATTGGGTTATGAAATGAGTGTAAATATTTTCAAGAAAATTTACTTATACCAACTACTTTCTCAGTTGTGTGTGTGTGTGTTTGTGTGTACTCTTTTTTTTCAGTTTTTCGAGACAGGGTTTCTCTGAAAGTGTGTGTATGTTCTTTCTTTCTTTCTTTCTTTCTTTCTTTCTTTCTTTCTTTCTTTCT